TACACTTTAGGTACTAGTTTGTGCCTTTTAGGTACTAATATATACACTTTAGGTACTAGTTTGTGCCTTTTAGGTACTAATATATACACTTTAGGTACTAGTTTGTGCCTTTTAGGTACTAATATATACACTAGGTACTAGTGTTGTGTCTTTTAGGTACTATGTCAATTTTAGGTACTTGTTTGTGCCTTTTAGGTACTAATATGTACACTTTAGGTACTTGTGCTTGCCTTTTAGGTACTAATATGTACACTTTAGGTACTAGTTTTTTGCCTTTTAGGTACTAATATGTAAACTAGGTACTAGTTTGTGCCTTTTAGGTACTCATATGTACACTATGTACTAGTTTGTGCCTTTTAGGTACTCATATGTACACTATGTACTAGTTTGTGCCTTTTAGGTACTCATATGTACACTATGTACTAGTTTGTGCCTTTTAGGTACTCATATGTACACTATGTACTAGTTTGTGCCTTTTAGGTACTCATATGTACACTATGTACTAGTTTGTGCCTTTTAGGTACTCATATGTACACTATGTACTAGTTTGTGCCTTTTAGGTACTCATATGTACACTATGTACTAGTTTGTGCCTTTTAGGTACTCATATGTACACTATGTACTAGTTTGTGCCTTTTAGGTACTCATATGTACACTATGTACTAGTTTGTGCCTTTTAGGTACTCATATGTACACTATGTACTAGTTTGTGCCTTTTAGGTACTCATATGTACACTATGTACTAGTTTGTGCCTTTTAGGTACTCATATGTACACTATGTACTAGTTTGTGCCTTTTAGGTACTCATATGTACACTATGTACTAGTTTGTGCCTTTTAGGTACTCATATGTACACTATGTACTAGTTTGTGCCTTTTAGGTACTCATATGTACACTATGTACTAGTTTGTGCCTTTTAGGTACTCATATGTACACTATGTACTAGTTTGTGCCTTTTAGGTACTAATATATACACTTTAGGTACTAGTTTTTGCCTTTTAGGTACTAATATGTACATTAGGTACTAGTGTTGTGTCTTTTAGGTACTAATATATACACTTTAGGTACTAGTTTTTGCCTTTTAGGTACTAATATGTACATTAGGTACTAGTTTGTGCCTTTTAGGTACTAATATATACACTTTAGGTACTAGTTTTTGCCTTTTAGGTACTAATATGTACACTAGGTACTAGTTTGTGCCTTTTAGGTACTAATATGTACTCTAGGTACTAGTTTTTGCCTTTTAGGTACTAATATGTAGACTTTAAGTACTAGTTTGTGTCTTTTAGGTACTAATATGTACACTTTAAGTACTAGTTTGTGTCTTTTAGGTTCTAATATGTGCACTTTATTTACAAGCAACTCCCGCTAATTCGAAAGTGAAAGTAAAATGTGCACTGCGATTTTAAGCTATTTAAAACCGAAGGAAAGCGAGGAAAAGAGGGAATGCCCCCGCCCCCGCAGTGAAACCGGTATTACCGGTGTTGTCACACGTCGATTAACCGGTCGGAAAATGTCCTCACCCTCACAACCCCAATGTACACTAGGTACTAGTTTGTGCCTTTTAGGTACTAATATGTACACTAGGTACTAGTTTGTGCCTTTTAGGTACTAATATATACACTTTAGGTACTATTTTTTGCCTTTTAGGTACTAATATGTACACTAGGTACTAGTTTGTGCCTTTAAGGCCTCTTGATATAGAGTCTTTAGGTACAAAGGGGTGCCTTTTGAAAAGGTACTGCCCCAGTGACAGCTTTTGTACCTTTCTTTTTAAAAGAGTGTATTGGACAGTCTCTCGCTGCCACTGTCTTTTTCAGAAACACAAGTTCTTTTCTTTGCGAGTTAAATCTAGCGCTGTTTTCTCTCTGTTGTCTGTCAGATTCTACAGAACATGGTGGGAACGGCGCTCATCATCCTGGTAGCCGTGGGCTTCAAGACTAAACTAGCCGCTCTGACGCTGGTTCTGTGGCTCCTTGCCATCAACGTCTACTTCAACGCCTTCTGGACAGTGCCTGCGTACAAACCCATGCACGACTTCCTCAAGTACGACTTCTTCCAGACCACGTCGGTCATCGGAGGCCTGCTGCTGGTGGTGGCACTCGGCCCCGGCGGCGTTTCGATGGACGAGAAGAAGAAGGAGTGGTGAGGAGAGCCGTTGCACCAATTAGGTAGATTTATTTGGTCGTTTCGGTCATTATTAGTGTTTATGATGAAACCTTCTTCTTGGCAAGGCGCCCAATGGGATGTTTCACTCATGCATTATCGCAGAATCTTTCTTTAAAAGCACTGAGACTCATCAGATCTTCATCTTTCTGGATGATGTTCCCGAGGGCCTCATGCATCGATCGCTGGTGTGAACTCTGTACCGTCTGCGTCTCGGGACGCTTGTCAGAATCCGTTGTTTTACAGGCGACGCCGGAGTGTTTTCTGTTGATTCTGAGACAAATAAATCATTGTGTTGGTTTCTCAGACGTTTGTGTTGTATTTTTGACTTTGGGGTTTTCAGATCATGGCGGAAAAATAAAGCAAGGTGATCAAAAGATGATGTGTTTGTGTTGCTTTTACATGCATGCTTTTGTGTTAAGGCATGTAAATATCACATTGTTGGTGCATATGCAAACAGTCATTGTCTCGGTTCTTTAACAAGAAAATAAGAATTAAAATGAGACCCAAAAAAACATGTTTTTGTTTCCAGATGTTTGAAAAACATGAGAGACTTATTTTATGTGATTTCTAGACCTTGGAAAAATCATGCAAATTAATCAAAATAATTAAAAAAAAAAATTCTGCAGATTATTAATTTAGCTTATTAGAAATAAAATAAGTGTATTTTATTTCAAGCATTGAAAATGTTTTATGGTTTTGTTAAACTATAATAACCCTGATTCTTTTCAACAATTTATTTTAATTGCAAGTTAATAAAATATAAAAATATCAAATATTTTGTTTTCTTTAAACTGTGGGGCAAATATATATATATTTTTTTATATTGTTTTATAACATGCTAATGTTCACTTTAGGTTGAATTCATAATGCATTATTTTTGTCATTTTATTAGTTTCCTATTTAAATGTCCATATTTTAAGTTGCCCACTGATGTAAATAATAATATTTATAATAATAATAATAAAAAGTGTACATGTTGCAGTGAATTTACGGAAATCCTGCCTGTTTTAACTTTTAAAATTTTGAAGTATAATCAGTTATCTGAGCATTTTTTAGTTTTCAGTTAATTTAAACTATATTAAAGTGACATAAAAAATTGAGCTGAATCTTGTATCGCTTATAAAATCAAGCTGAAGTTGGTTTATTTTGATGAGCTAAATTAATGGAAAAACATGTCGCAATGACTTTTTTATTTTACAGTGAGGACATTTTTAATATAAAATATATTATTGGGTAAAACCAAGAAAGCTTACATTTAAAAGTGTGATCTCTAGACCTCTGGAAATGTCATGTACTTTAATAAAACCGTATATAACTCGATATATCGCTAAACATGTCCATCTGTTTCTTAAGTTCAGTTGCTGCCTTTTTGATTATTTTAAGTACAATCAAATTGCATGTCATTTCAACTGATTTTCTTCAGTTTATTTAAATTATAAATTGAACTGCCTTTTAAAAAATTGTGTTGAATCTCAGTTTAAAAAGTTAAATTGTTTCAATTATTTTGAGAAGTTAAAGTAAGGGTAACAAGATATGTTTCCATGATGTATTGATAATAACAATGTTGCGAGTAAAAGTGGAAAAAGAGAAAGGAAAACGACAAATTGTTTTGCACTTTTAAAGTTGCCCTGTGATGTAAACAATAATACAAAAAATTAATGTTGCAGAAAATGTACATAATATAGTTGAGTGTTTTTATTTTGTGTTATGAAATGCTGAAATAAAGTTTTTTTTATAAAAAATATTTTTATTTTATAAAAAGCTGTTGTGGGATATCATGCAAGCACACTTAATATGACCATGTTTGCGCTGATGTTGGACTTTTTAATGTAATAATTAAAAAAATAATTTGTATTCGTTTTTGTTATTTTAAAATATATTTCTATACGTTTTATTAATTTAGTTTAATAGAAATAAAATAAGTTTATTTCAAGTAATACAAATGTTTTTATGGTTTTAGTTAGCTATAATTATTACCCTGATTCTTTTCAACAATTTATTTTAATTGCAAGTTAATAAAATATAAATATCGAATATTTTGTTTTCTTTAAACTGTGGGGCAAAAATATATTTTTTTATGTCGTTTTATCACTTTAGGTTTATTTCATAATGCAGTTTTCTAAAAATTAAATATATTTATATCTTAACTTTTCCTTTTAATTTTAGTGTCATTTTATTAGATTCTTTTTTAAATGCCCTTATTTTAAAGTCGCCCCTGATGTAAATAATAATAAAAAAGTAAGTGCGTTCATAAATGTTGCAGGAAATGTATATAATGTAGTTGAGTGTTTTTATTTTGTGCTCATGAAATGCTGAAATAAAGTTTATTATTATAAAAAAATATATGTTTTTATTATAAAAAGCTGTTGTGGGATATCATGCAAGCACACTTAATATGACCATGTTTGCGCTGATGTTGGACTTTTTACTGAAATAATAAAAAAATGTTTTTTAAATGATCATATTGTAAAACAAGCTGAATTTGAACATGGCCTTTTCGCTTCGCTTCTGGATCATTTATAGCAGCACACCTGTTTATGTAGGCGGTCTGTCTGGTGAAGGGATGGATGGATCTGATTGGCCTGGCAGACGCACCTCTGATTCTGATTGGCTCGTGTGCTCGGGGGGCCGGGGCCTCGAGCATGGCTCTGATTCGGAGCTGGAAGCGTCGGGTCTGTAAAGCTGCTGTGATTTCGGTGAGTTGCTGCTTTTATGTGTCTTGTGTGGTTTGCCGTGATTTATTCAGCATGTGTTTGCCCCAACAGGTTGTTGTTTAGGTGAACAGTGATAGTAAACTAATATTATCTCAGGCAATATTTGATCCACATGTTATGAAAAAACATCTTTCTTCATTTCTTGGCAGGGCTTGAATGTGAAGATCAAAAGATTCTTTCATTTTCATGACATGATATTATGTAACCTTTACTGTGGCTCCAGACTATTCTTTTCTGTGTTCTATTTTACATTCTACACCAATCTTTATTTAGTTTATAGTTTCGTATTGTTTTACAATATGCACATTTTCACTTTAGGTTAAATTCATAATGCAGTTTTCTAAATATTAAATATATTTATATTTTACCTTTTCCTTTTAGTTTTAGTGTGTTTTTTGACATTTTATTTGTTTCTTTTTAAAATGTCAATTTTTTTTAAATGTATATTGAACTTGTAGTTATTTATATTTAGTACAAGTTAAACTAAAGAAATGTTGCTGTGAAAAAAATTTTTTTTTTGCATTTAAAATGATTTCAAGAAACTGTGTGTCAGAAAGTCACTAAATTATAGAGAGTAAAATAAACAAAAGCAATGTAGATGTAGGAACAAACACACTGTAAATGTTTCGTTTGTTTCATCTGTGTGTGTGTGTGTGTGTGTCTCTCTCTCTCTCTCTCTCTGTGTGTGTGTGTCTCTCTCTCTCTCTCTCTCTGTGTGTGTGTGTCTCTCTCTCTCTCTCTCTCTGTGTGTGTGTGTCTCTCTCTCTCTCTCTCTCTGTGTGTGTGTGTCTCTCTCTCTCTCTCTCTCTGTGTGTGTGTGTCTCTCTCTCTCTCTCTCTCTGTGTGTGTGTGTCTCTCTCTCTCTCTCTCTCTGTGTGTGTGTGTCTCTCTCTCTCTCTCTCTCTGTGTGTGTGTGTCTCTCTCTCTCTCTCTCTCTGTGTGTGTGTGTCTCTCTCTCTCTCTCTCTCTGTGTGTGTGTGTCTCTCTCTCTCTCTCTCTCTGTGTGTGTGTGTCTCTCTCTCTCTCTCTCTCTGTGTGTGTGTGTCTCTCTCTCTCTCTCTCTCTGTGTGTGTGTGTCTCTCTCTCTCTCTCTCTCTGTGTGTGTGTGTCTCTCTCTCTCTCTCTCTCTGTGTGTGTGTGTCTCTCTCTCTCTCTCTCTCTGTGTGTGTGTGTCTCTCTCTCTCTCTCTCTCTGTGTGTGTGTGTCTCTCTCTCTCTCTCTCTCTGTGTGTGTGTGTCTCTCTCTCTCTCTCTCTCTGTGTGTGTGTGTCTCTCTCTCTCTCTCTCTCTGTGTGTGTGTGTCTCTCTCTCTCTCTCTCTCTGTGTGTGTGTGTCTCTCTCTCTCTCTCTCTCTGTGTGTGTGTGTCTCTCTCTCTCTCTCTCTCTGTGTGTGTGTGTCTCTCTCTCTCTCTCTCTCTGTGTGTGTGTGTCTCTCTCTCTCTCTCTCTCTGTGTGTGTGTGTCTCTCTCTCTCTCTCTCTCTGTGTGTGTGTGTCTCTCTCTCTCTCTCTCTCTGTGTGTGTGTGTCTCTCTCTCTCTCTCTCTCTGTGTGTGTGTGTCTCTCTCTCTCTCTCTCTCTGTGTGTGTGTGTCTCTCTCTCTCTCTCTCTCTGTGTGTGTGTGTCTCTCTCTCTCTCTCTCTCTGTGTGTGTGTGTCTCTCTCTCTCTCTCTCTCTGTGTGTGTGTGTCTCTCTCTCTCTCTCTCTCTGTGTGTGTGTGTCTCTCTCTCTCTCTCTCTCTGTGTGTGTGTGTCTCTCTCTCTCTCTCTCTCTGTGTGTGTGTGTCTCTCTCTCTCTCTCTCTCTGTGTGTGTGTGTCTCTCTCTCTCTCTCTCTCTGTGTGTGTGTGTCTCTCTCTCTCTCTCTCTCTGTGTGTGTGTGTCTCTCTCTCTCTCTCTCTCTGTGTGTGTGTGTCTCTCTCTCTCTCTCTCTCTGTGTGTGTGTGTCTCTCTCTCTCTCTCTCTCTGTGTGTGTGTGTCTCTCTCTCTCTCTCTCTCTGTGTGTGTGTGTCTCTCTCTCTCTCTCTCTCTGTGTGTGTGTGTCTCTCTCTCTCTCTCTCTCTGTGTGTGTGTGTCTCTCTCTCTCTCTCTCTCTGTGTGTGTGTGTCTCTCTCTCTCTCTCTCTCTGTGTGTGTGTGTCTCTCTCTCTCTCTCTCTCTGTGTGTGTGTGTCTCTCTCTCTCTCTCTCTCTGTGTGTGTGTGTCTCTCTCTCTCTCTCTCTCTGTGTGTGTGTGTCTCTCTCTCTCTCTCTCTCTGTGTGTGTGTGTCTCTCTCTCTCTCTCTCTCTGTGTGTGTGTGTCTCTCTCTCTCTCTCTCTCTGTGTGTGTGTGTCTCTCTCTCTCTCTCTCTCTGTGTGTGTGTGTCTCTCTCTCTCTCTCTCTCTGTGTGTGTGTGTCTCTCTCTCTCTCTCTCTCTGTGTGTGTGTGTGTGTGTGTGTCTCAGAGATGTCGAAGGGTTCGGTGGTTCTGGCGTACAGCGGTGGTCTGGACACGTCTTGTATCCTGGTGTGGCTGAAGGAACAGGGCTATGATGTCATCGCCTTCCTGGTAACCACGGTTTACTGTACATCATCGTTACATAACCCTGCGTGAATATTACAGATCATTTCCTTCAGGGAGCTGAGCACTGTTAATGAAAGAGAGTTGAAATGACGGGGCTTGTGAAGACTTGCTCACGAAGCGTTTTTGACTCCCTTTAAACATTGAGATACTTATATATACAGTATATATATATATATTTTTAGTGAATATTTTGAATTTGATTTTTTATTTATATATATATACATATTTTCTGCTTGAATTTTAATTTGAGCTAGTTGGGTTTGTTTCTTTAGTTCGTTCGTTTTAGTATGTTTGTTTTTGTAGCTGAAATAAATATGTTTTATATTATTATTATTTTAATCTTCGTATTATTATTTAATTTTTTTATATGATTATTTATTTTATATAATATTATTTCATATTTTGAATTTTAAAACGTTAAAATATTTGTACGTTTTTTCTTTTCCTTTTAATTTTAGTTTTAGTATAAGTTTTAATAGTTTTGTTAGTTATTGATGTTTTTTTTAGTTATTGTTTTACTGTTTTTTTCTGAAATTGCATATTTGTAAGCTGCCACTGTGACAACATGCCCCATTATGGAGGTAATTTTTAGACAATATATACTCAGAAGTCACTAACTCAACTACATTTTTAACTAAATTGTTCTATTTTAAAAAAATAAGCTTACGATGTGTTTTTTATTATCATTTAGATGCTATTATATATTTTAATGTTTTTAATTCATTTTAATTGTAACGTTTTAATCATTTTGTAGTGCATTTTCTGCAATTTTTATTATTTTTTAAATATATTTATATAGTTTTTATTCATTTTTATTTCAGTTTTAATTGTAGTCATTTAAGTACAAGTTAAACTAAGTGAAAATGATTGAGAATCGGTGCTTTGGCAACTAATAATATATATTATATATATTTCATTTTATTTCTGGTGACATAAATGTTTATTTTTTTTATTATTTTAGTTTTAGTTAACTATAAAAATTGTGCATTAATTGATCTGTCGTGATAAATGATATACGCAAATATACGAAATGTGCAATGTTTGTTATATAATAAAATCTGCTCATTAACATAATTAGATGAGATTGTGAGCAGTGCTGGGGAAAGTTACTTTTAAAAGTAATGCGTTACAATGTTGCGTTACTCCATAAAAAGTAACTAATTACGTTACTTAGTTACTTTTTATGGAAAGTAATGCGTTACGTTACTTTTGCGTTACTTTTTAAATCTGGACAGGGCTTGCTTGTTAATTAATGCATATTCATAATTATTTTAGAGCTACAGTAACATCTCCTGATTTCTGTCACCATGGCGACACCAGAGCTGTCAATCAATACATTGGAAACAAAGTAACTTGCGTTACTTATCTGAAAAAGTAACTCCGATATTCTCTTGTAAATGAAAAAGTAATGTTACTTTACTAGTTACTTGACAAAAGTAATCTGATTATTTGTAATACGTTCCCCCAACACTGCTTGTGATCGACTGAATGTGAATGATTGAACGATTCTCACAGTTTAACTGGTTTTACAGGTTTTGCTTTTATGCATTTAACAAGCACTTCTTATGCAAAGCAGCCAGTGAGTAATACTACAACTGAAGCTGTCTGGACAGACCAATCCATGATTATTCAGAAAATCAGAGAGGAATGGTGCACAGAGACACAATGGTGAAAGAAAAGAGTTTTTCAAATGCATCGAGGAAGTGTGAACAGACACTGCGAATGTTTCGAAATTGCGAAAAATAGAACAATAATGAATGAAATCCTGAAATCTGGATTACACTTACAGTTATACTTGTGTTAGATGCGTAAGATCTAAAGCATTCAGCGCACACACCCCATGAAGCTGATGTTGTCTGCGCCATGCACTACTGTTCGAGTTACATAGACACCTCATTTCTGCTCGGATTAAGCTGAAGTTTGGACCAGGTGACACGTTATGTGCTTCTGAGCAAAGGTCTGGAAGAGCAAGACAAACTTGTTTTTTGATTAAAGATGATCTGTTTTCTTTCATAAATCACATGCTTTTTTTGCTGTAGATTCAGTTTTATGAATCACCTTTCTTTTAAGCAAAACTTGTTGAACTGCTCTGCTTTTGGTGATGATTTTTATTCAGTAAGCTCTCAAGGATTTGTTTAATAAGATCTTACCAGAAAAAGTGTTAGAGTTTAATTTAATTTAATTTAATTTAATTTGATGTTTTATGTAATTTAATCTAAATAAGATTAATCTAAATAATAAGATATTACCAGAAAAAGTGTTAGAATTTTTTTATTTAATTTTACATTTAATTTTTAATTTTTACTTTAATCTAAATAAGATTAATCTAAATAATAAGATATTACCAGAAAAAGTGTTAGAATTTTTTTATTTAATTTTACATTTAATTTTTAATTTTTACTTTAATCTAAATAAGATTAATCTAAATAATAAGATATTACCAGAAAAGGTGTTAGAATTTTTTTTGTAATTTAATATTTAATTTAATTTAATTTTATGTTTTATTTCATTTAATCTAAATAAGATTAATCTAAATAATAAGATATTACCAGAAAAGGTGTTAGAATTTTTTTATTTAATTTAATTTAATTTAATTTAATTTAATTTAATTTGATGTTTTATGTAATTTAATCTAAATAAGATTAATCTAAATAATAAGATATTACCAGAAAAAGTGTTAGATTTAGTTTTTTGTAATTTAATATTTAATTTAATGTTTTATTTAATTTAATCTAAAATGTTTTAAATAATTATATTTAATTATAATATAATTATTTTAGTTAAAATACATTATGCAATTGTAATCTATTTATTACTTTAATCGGTATATAATAATATAATAATATAACGTATATATTAATTTAATGCAATTCATTTTTAACACAATTTTATTTTGCCAGCTGAAGTTTTTGGGGGTTTTTTCCAACACATTTACATGTTCACAGTTCTCTCATGTTGGTTAATTGTTAAATAACACGAAGGTCAACAAATAAAATATTAACTTTTTTTAGTAAGTGTTTATTTATTTATCTTTCACCAACTAAATTACAGAAGTAATTTAATTTAATTTAATTTTTTTTAATTAAACACACAATTAATTTTATTTAAAAATGTTATTTTCATGTAGATTTTATATTTTTATTTAATTTTCAATTTATTTAATTTTCAATTTATTTTTATTGAATTAATTTCCTTTTTATACAACTCTTATGAAATTAGTAGAAAATGTACAGCTCTACCTAACTAGATCAATCACCTCTGTATTACATTGAAGGCCAATATTGGACAGCATGAGGACTTCGACGCTGCGCGAGAGAAAGCAGAGAAACTCGGAGCCAAGAAGGTAAGGGCCAGAAACACTAATGACTCTGAGTGTGTGAGTGTGTGTGTGTGTGTGTGTGTTCATCAGCTGTGTGTTCATGCAGGTGTTCATCGAGGACCTGCGCTCGGAGTTTGTGCAGGAGTTCATCTGGCCCGCGCCGCAGGCCAATGCTGTTTATGAGGACCGCTATCTGCTGGGTACATCTATCGCCCGGCCCTGCATCGCCCGCAGACAGGTGCAGATCGCCCGGAGAGAAGGAGCGCAGTATGTTTCTCACGGAGCCACAGGAAAGGTGCACGCATTAGATATTATCCTGGAATAAACCTGCTCCAGAATGAGACATTCAGAGCGTCTGCACACTTGGTTCAGTGAACTGGGCTGTTTATTTATAGTGTCATGTATAACTTTATTTGATCAAAAATACAGTAAAAAATGTGAAATATTATTAGAATGTAAAACAGCTGTTTTCTGTGTGAATCTCTGTTAAACTGTAATGTATTCCTGTGATGCGCAGCTGTATTTTCAGCATCATTCCTCCAGTCTTCAGTGTCACATGATCTTCAGAAATCAGTATAATATGCTGATCTGCTGCTCGAGAAACATTTCTGATTATTATCAATGTTGAAAACAGTAAAAAAAAAAAAAAAAGATCAAAAGTGCCAATAAAGACATTTATAATGTCTGTTATAAACGCTGTTCTCTTGAACTTTCTGTTCATCTGTGAATCCTGAAAAGTAAAATATATCACAGTTTCCACAAAAATATTGTGCAGCACGACTGTTTTCAGCATTGATAATAATCAGAAATGTTTCTCGAGCAGCAGATCAGCATATTATACTGATTTCTGAAGATCATGTGACACTGAAGACTGGAGGAATGATGCTGAAAATACAGCTGCGCATCACAGAAATACATTACAGTTTAACAGATACTCACAGAGAAAACAGCTGTTTTACATTCTAATAATATTTAGCTATTTTTACAGTATTTTTGATCAAATAAATGCAGCTTTGCTGAGCAGAAGAGACTCTTTCGAACACATTTTGGCCGGTCGTAGAGGAATGCAGCATCATGCTATTTTTTTTCCATCTGTAAAAAGAATAAAGTAAATAAAACCTTTTCATCAGCTTGAGATTTTAGATTAATATTTCAATAATTAAAAATATTTTTTATGTTTTAAATAATTAAGTTATAATTATTTTGTGATTAATTATTTTTTTTAATTTAAGAAATTAAATTCCCTTTTTGGGAAATGCTGCTCCGTTAACAGCTGATTTACAGTAGTAAATATGTCAGTTAATTACTGAGAATGAGAATGATTTTCTGAAGCCCATACATATGAAATGCACTCCTCAAAGCCACAAGACTGTAGTAAATGAATAGCTGTGTTGTGTTGTTTTCAGGGGAATGACCAGATCCGCTTCGAGCTGACGTGCTACGCGCTGTATCCTCACGTGCAGGTGAGGTCAGATCCGACAGAAACCATCATCTGTGTCTGATGCGTCCTCATGTCTGCGTCTCAATCCTCAGGTCATCGCTCCGTGGAGGATCCCAGAGTTTTACAGCCGCTTCCGAGGCAGAAAGGACCTGATGGAGTACGCAGAGGTGCAGTATTATCACTGCACGAGCATGCATTAATGACTGTAAATATAGACGTTTGTGAGGAATGAGAAATCATGAAGTGATCAGTGTCACAGATGGTGCTCAGCAGGATATCAAACCCCAGAGTTTTTAATCAATGCAAATATGTATCAGATTCGGTTTTAAATGCGTCCACTAGGGGGCATCAGACAACTTCAGGAAAGACTTGCAATAAGACAAAAAGGCTTTAGAATGAGCTAAAACATCTAAAAAAGAATTATATAGAGAATCTGAAAAGTGTGATTTGTAGAGTCACGGACATTTCTATAATGATTTCTTTCTTTGTTATGTTAATATGTTAAAATTAGAAAATGCTCGTTTTAATTATTTGCTTAATTGTGTTGCTCAAACAGTCATTCATGCTTTCGTTGGTCATAGAGAGTGTGATGAACATTCACTTGTGGCTGAAAAAAATATTTCATTTTAATATATCGCCTAATTTCTGTAAGTAAAAATATTTTAATATTTTTCAAATGTTTTGGAGGGCCTTTGGTTATTATCTAGGAGTCAAAAATTGCTGATCTAATGGGTTATAGTGCTGTTTTAGTATCTTTGAGATAATATGTGACCCTGCAGCACAGAAGCAGTGTTCGCATTAAGGGAACGTTACATTGTATCATTTTGCAAACGTTACAGAAGCGTTACATTTGAATGTTCTGAAACAAGTAACATTTGAAAAATGTGTTAGACGAGCGTCCAGTCGCAGAAAAAAGTTGCATGAACAATGTATAAATAATGACGTTTTGAGACCGATGATCATTCATGAAACAAAGTACTTTGTCCTGAAAAACGTGTCAGTCAAAGCAGAATGCATCAAAAAGCATCTAATCGGCTGCAGGGTTCGACAACACTTTAGCAGTGATTCTCAGCTGGGAACGCTGTCACATTAGCAGAAAGTTTAATAATGTTCTCTAAGAGTTAGCACAAAAATGTTATTTATGTACATTGTTCATGGATGGAACATTTCTTCTAACATTTTAGTTGGATGTTCGGCTAATGTTTACATTTTCCAACTAAATAAAAAATCACGCAGTTAAGATTTGCTGTGTAGAATATATCACATGCACTTAAATTGAAATCTGATATATATCTATTTTTATATAGAGAGCTGTGCAATAATACAGCGAGTGTTCATGCAGTCTCTGTTTCCAGGCAGTTAAACAAAGTCGAACTCCGGTTCC